AAAAGAAAAAAATATGACATGGGTTGGCTTGAAGTCACCCGCAGGCCGCCAGTTGTAGACTATAACGGTGCAAGCAGGATGAATTTGTATCAATAAGTATTTCAAGGTAGTAAGTAATATAAGCTAAAATACACATGATATATATTGCACATAATTAACATATATTACACAGGTTGTGTGACAGGTTATTGCATAGGTAGTGAGTGACATTGAGATTGAATTATGATGGTAAGGTAGATACATAGATGCTGTATCATACATGATACAGCCTAGTATCAGCTTAGATATATACTTACATAGTGCAACAGCAATAAACAAACATACTAGCTGTCACAAGCTAATATTAGCCATATTGTCATAGATGTGGCTTGGTGCAATGTTATTGCCAGTTGTTCAGTGTTATTTATCGAGAGTTCTGTAATCTGACAGCTTGTAGATAATAGCTGTCCTTTAGTGTTTTTGTACGCGATGGCAGACCCTTGTATCGTCTGCCTGAGAGTAGTAGATGGAAGAGTCCTTGTGCTGGGTGGGTGTGGTCCTTAATGATGCTGCATGCTTTACGCAGACATCAGCTGTGGTAGATGTCCTGGATGGTGTGGAGACTGGTACCAGTGATGTCCTCTGCTGTTTGCACCACCCTCTGTAGAGCTTTCCGGCTCTGACTGGTGCAGTTCCCATACCACCCTGTGATGCAGCCTGTCAACAGACCCTCAATGGTGCACCTATAAAAGTTAATGAGGATGCTGGTGTTCATACCAAACTTCTTTAGTCTTCTTAGGAAGTAGAGTCTTTGTCTGGCTTTCTTGACCACAGTGTTTGTATGTAAAGTCCAGGACAAGTCCTCAGTAATGTGAACGCAGAGGAACATGAAGCTACTGGCTTGCTCCACCTCAGCGTTGTTTATGTTGATAGTGGAGTGCTGGCCTCCACATTGTTTCCTGAAGTCCACCATCATCTCCTTTGTTTTGCTGACATTTAGAGATGTCGTTTTTCTGACACCAGCTGGTAAGTGATTTTACCTAATCTATGTAGGCACTCTCGTCGTCGTTGGTGATTAGGCCCAAGATGGTGGTGTCATCAGCATACTTGAGGATGACGTTAGAGCTGTGCTTGGCGGTGCAGTCGTGTAAATACTGAGTACAGGAGTGGACTGAGGACATAGCCCTGAGGTGTACCGGTGCTGAGGACTAGTGTGGAGGAGAGGTGACTGCCGATTCTCACTGTCTGTGGTCTGTTGGTGAAGAAGTCCAGTATCCAGCAGCAGATGGACTTCTCCAGGCCCAATGTGGTGAACTTGGAGACCAGCTTGGAGGGGATTATGGTGTTTACTGCTGAGCTGTAGTCAATGAAGAGCATTCTTACATAGATGTTTTTTTTTTTCCAGATGGCTGAGGTAGGTATGAACTGCTAAAGCAATAGCATCATCTGTAGACCTGTTTGCCCTGTATGTGAACTGTAGGGGGTTCAGGGTGTCAGGGAGGGAGGTGAAGATGTGAGTTTGCATAATTTGCTCAAAGCACTTCATGATGACAGATGTGAATTCTATGGGCCAAAAGTCATTAAGGCAGAATGCTGCAGAGTTCTTTGGGATGGGGACAGCAGTAGAGGTCTTGAAATGGCTCATAGACAGGTTAAAAATGTTGGTAAACACCTTGGTGAGTTGGTCAGCGCACACTCTCAGCACCCATCCTGGGATGCCATCAGGCCCTGGTGCCGTACGAGGGTTTACCTTTTTGAACGCCCGACTCACTTTAGCAGTGTCTAAACAGAGTGTGATGTCCTCACTGTCTACATGTGGTCTGGTGATGTGTGATACTATAGAGATAAATATAGAAATGTTCATATTTAACATTTAATCTGTGTCTATAATAACCAGATCCTGAAATGTAGATGTGACGTGGATTTTCTGAATAAAGAGCGCTAACATTCACATTTAACTGATTCTGATTAATCACATCGATTAACATATATACACATATCTTGTTTTTTTTATCGGTCCAGAGGACCTGACTTTGTTACATTTTTCTACCTAATGAGCATGCATCAGGATATTCTGGGCTATACGTTTCTAAGCTTTGACTATCTCAGGACTGTGCCCATTTGTGTGGTGCACCCAGCAGATTAAACAATTTACAAACACCATTTGACCCAGATCTCTTCCTAAATAAACAGCGTGTGTGTCTCACCAGCCTGTAAATTGCATTAGCGCACATTAAAAGGACCTCAGAGACGGTCACAGGCTGTTTCCTCAGGGGACACTACAGCTACCTGCATTATTTGGAGGAGAAGGGGAGGCGAGGAACTGCTGTTTCATTTGAATGCTTGCCAGAGCGATCCCTCCTCTGTGTCCTTCACCGCCTCATTTCACTTTGAGCAAAACAGCATCACACACAGTTTTCCCTCCTCCTCTCTTCATCTCTCCGTGTGACACCTGATACAGCTGAAATGAGCATTTGAGAACTTGACATTCACTTGGATCTGTTTGTTTGAAATTCAGTTCTTCTGAACAACTTTAATTTTAGTGTGCCTCCTGGCATGGACCAGTTTAGCTTTTCAGGCTGAGGCCAAGATGAGGCACAGCAGTGGAGATGATTACTGTCTGTCACAGTTAAAAGCTGTCAATGTTTACAGAAAAAGAAACTTCTATCTCATGTACCGGTAATTAAGATAGATTTGTTTGTCTGCAGGCTTTAGGTGGAGGCAAATAGAGCATGTCGTCCTTCTCAACAGTGATTTAGACACAGTAGATGGTATAGCAGATTACACATTGATCAAACACCTTTCCTCCCCTTTAAATATAGATTTTAAAGGAAAATGTGAAGACAGGTAATTTACTGGCAGACAATTCCCTTTGGATCTCTCTGTGCAAACCAGTCGCTGTCGGAGAGATATTATCAATTACAGTAAAGTGGACCTCCAGGCTCTCGTTTTTAAAGCGAAGCTCCAGCTGACAGTGGCATGGACAGCAGTTAATGATGGTGAGGGAATCAAACACGGTCTTTACAGAGGGTCAGAGGAGCTGCAAATCTAATTAAAAAAGACTGGAGATTATTTGTTTCCCAAAGATAAAATTATAATTATGGGGAAAGCAAGACAGATTGCATGGTATTTCTGGTTCAGCTTGTGTTTAAAAACATAACTTTGTGATGCATTTATATATATATATATATATATATATATATATATATAAAAAGGCAAA